TGATACCAGCCGCGGAAGCGTTCATAACCACATTTATGTCATCCACGTATCTCTTGTACGCCCGTAACCCCACCCCATTTTCTTCCAGCTTCTTCACCATTTGTCTGTCCCACCAGACCATAAACAACTGGGCCAAGACCCCAGTAAGCTCAAGCCCTATTGGACCTCCCTCTGTTTCCAACTTGATCTGATTGTCGAATGTATAGAGGTGGTTCTTCATGATAAATAATAGGACAACCTTCATCGCCTCCGTGAACATCTTTCTGGTAGTAACATTGTCCGGCCGCTCAACCAGTGGTAGCCAAGGTTGAAATCTCTTGGTTCTGTTCTCATCTACAGCGCAACCTGTGATGGTGGGAGGTCGGCCTCTGTTAGTCTTGCGTCGTGGGCAAAACCTCAGTAACCCAGATTTCTCAACTCCTCCTCACATCTATTCAACGAAAGATATAACCCCAATCCCCCAACATCTAACCCGACCACTTCCACACCACTTGTGTGGAAGACTTCACAAACTTTCTATACTGTAAAGCTAATGTCCAAACTTGGTTACAGCGCCTTCACATCAAGTGAGCCAACGACAATATCTTAGTTATATATAGTTATATAGTTTATATCTGACCACTTGCAGCCCAGAGGCTGAATTACGGGTGCAGTGTAAGGTTGAGAACAGACGTCATCTTCCGTGACTTGGCTGTCATTTAACTCCTTGAAGTCAGCTAACATCTCCTCAGTATTCCAACAAACACTCATCTCTTCCCTCCACACCTCCGCCAAAATAAAACTCATCAAATGCGACAATTTCCTGTTGTAGGCTGATACTGCCCCACATACCGGTCGAACCGGTGGGCCAATAGAGGGGTCATCTGCGTTCTTGTGATCTTTCCTAAGAGCATACAAAGGGGGGAAGGTGCAGTCATTTACTAGCATGTTACTCTTAATTCTTACTTTCCCACCAACACCTTCCCCAGTATTGAGGATTCTCACCCACATAACCGAATGCGCATTCGCCTCCGTCTGTGCTCTCTCATGCAACTC